TCAAGGCGTAAGGAGAATTTTTAAATTTCCTCTCGTCTCTTAATCTTCGGTATTACGATCCGAGAAAAATCTCGGGAAAGCCTCTCGTTTTCACGCGATCTACTTCGTTGCACCTTTTCCACGTCGCGCGTGTCTAATAAAAGAATCTCGGGGGTTCTCCATCCTCTACATTAAGTTTGCGGGCACTTTCGTTCCGCGAAGTTGAACGAACCCACGTGCGGATACGCTGGGGCCTCGGGTAATTTTTTCTCGCTCTCACTCGTTTTTTCGTGCGGGCTCGCCGTCTACTCCTCCTTCTCCTTATTTCCTTTTCCGTCCCGTCAGCCCCTTACTCGCTTGCTCCGATTCAAAATTACTCCGAAGACCAATCGACATTGTATGTGCGCGCACGTACTTTACGGTATCTTTTAGTTTACTTCGATTACTCGCTCTGTCGAGATAGGCAGACAGATAGCGTGCGGGGGCAGGGGTTGGGGTGGGGGAAACGATGTAAACGAGAACAAAGAAACTCTTTCTAGTGCCAAATTTACTTTAGTGCTTTAAATCCCTATGAGACAAATTTCTAATTTAGTTGTTAACTAATCGGTAGTTTTCTTTGAAGTTGATTCATACATTTTATTCGGGCTATTAAAAGCAGTAATTGTCATTGTTTTCAATTATTAAATTACTTTGTGTCAACTACAAATTTCCATCTAATGAAAATGAAATCAATAAGATTTTTTCTTTATTTATAATATTGATGTAAACTAGTATTCGATATTTATATTTCCCATACTGTTCGTTGTTTTGTATAAGTAAACTCTCAATGTTTGATAATTATATTCAACATTAAATCATAATAAATGCATATTTATTTTACTCTATGAATGTACATGGGGGCGTTCGCCCGCTTAGATGCGTGAATATTCTTATGATAAAAATAGTGTTAATAAATTAAAAATAATATAATACTTTGATTTGTGTTTGTAGAAAAGTTTCAAATATTGCTCTATACCGTCCTACATATACCGCCTAAAGATTTAAGAATAAAGGATTCAGATGTGAATCTGTATATGAAAATTCATATACAAATGCGTAGTAGCGAAGACGAATGTTTAAAAAAGGATTATAAGTAATTAGCTCACCTACAATTCCTTTAATAAAGGTTTTAATAATTTAAAATAGCTGAATGACGTAAAATAATAATTGAATAAAGTACTCCGCTGCATTTCCCTTTACTGTCATTTTTGTATAACAGAATTGGCTCTTTAAATAATTATTTTTATTTGCACAAAAAGTTAATTTCTGCTTAAAAACAGTTTAATTAAACTGCAATTACTTTAATGGCTACTCGATGTCTTTATTAAGTGTTCCAGTCAGTTAATAATGAATGATGGCGTGTTTTTCAAGCAGAAATTAGCACATACATTTGCGTTCTAATTTATACATATAATCGGCAGTCGCCATCAAGATTAGTAAATTCATTTTTTATTGGAAAAGTGCAGCGGATATTATAAAGCATAAAACTTCCATAATTGCCATCAGACGCGTTACTATGATACGTCACCGTGACATCATACAATAATAATTTTAAGCTATCGTGTCTTCTTACGCGTATTAATGATATTAAAAAGCATGACTAAGGTAACGGTATCATACCCATAACATCGTTAAGAGTATAGAAAGTATTTACGTTACTTTAATGATAAGGCATATTAATGTAAAGCGGAAATAAACATTAAAAGAGATTTGAATCATAACGTTCTAATGTGACTAATTATTGAGAAATGCTGATCAAGGCACGCGATGCCCGAAATTCTTATTGGAAAAAATCTCAACGGCAAAAGCAATGCATCGAAAAACAACACACGTCATATCCTTCGCAAATTGGATGCCATCGGCGGTCGACCATTGTCAACGACACTTTCCCGTTATCAATCCGGCTAGTCAAGATTCTCGATATGATCCTCGCACGTAATAAAGAAATAAAAGATAGAGTTCGTGTATTACGCAAACCGTATACTATTTACGTGCGAAGATACAATGTTCCGAGTCCCGCAGACGTTCAGGTTCTCGCTGATCAATTCCACTCGCGCCAATTATTTTACGCCACACACATCAGGTAACCGGACTCGATGTGTAATAATCGCTCGTCTCTCTCGCTCACCTCATCGGTCCAATCCCATCACCATCAATCGTACACGCCGCACTTGCACGACGACTTTCTATATCGGTAAATGCAAATTAGGCAGGTGTGTGCCGTATCTTTATCAACGGATTCGTCAATCGCCGCAAAAATCGCGAATAATATTGTGACGTCGCGTAATGGAATCCTTAAAAGCAAGTTCCTCCTGCACGCTCGGCTACAAGTTACGAAAAATATTTCTGGATTACCTAAACGCGTGATAGTGAGATGCTGATAGTGGCGCGTTAATGGTAATGGGCAACAGGTGTTACCATCTCGCCACAAGAATTAACGTCTGGCGCAGCTAGATTGTTGAATCTAAGCTTTTTGCCTTGTTCGATAAAGCTCGTACCACGCCGTTATACCGCTTTTTATAGTTAATTTTAAGAGATATTGTAAATTTGAAGCATTAATTCGTTGCTTATAGATTCATGAAATAAATTCAATTTTTACTTTAATATACTTATGGTGGATGGTTATATATTCCATAACTATATTACTTCCTTCCTAATATTCTGCATTAATCCGTATTATTTAATTATCTATTCTGATTGCATATGAAAATATAAAAGATGATCCTGACCTATGGAATTGAATTACCCTTGGACCGTTAGAAAAATTTTCCAATAACGTCTTTACGTTTTCCCTCTTTTTATTTTCACTCGTAATAAAGGACTTTGTACTTTATTCATTGGATCAAAATATATCTATACGTACATTGTGGATTATTTATATTTTTCATTTTTATAAAAGCCTTCCATCTATTTTACGACCAAATATTTTCGTCCTCATTTCAACTAACGAAGTACCTTATTACTTTGTAATTCCTAACTTATATAATATGTGAGACTTTAATAGCTTCTCGGTAAAGTAAAAATATACATTTTCTATATATAATGCTTCTATAAATTCTTCGTTTATTTCACTTTTATTATATGTTATTACACAGAGGTGTAATTTATCGACTTTAACAAAAAGTTTTATCGACAATTTTCAAGTTGACATCTTCATGATATAACTTATAGCTATCTAAAATTTATAATCAATTTCCATTATTTATTTGCAACGTCACAATTTATTTCGACATTAATAAAAGCTTTCTCAATTATCAATTGTATTTCGCTACGCTACAACCAAAGCTTGCTTCAACCTTTATCTTTTTAAAAATCATTGGCAAAAAACTTAATTATCACGTAAGAATTTATCAACAAACTTTCAAACTAAATTGTATAAATGATACGATAACGTAACTGTTCGTTCGAATCTATTGTAAATTGCAGTTTGTGCTTTAGATATAAAGTGTTCCTATTATTACAGGTTCTTAATTATTATTATTATTATTATTATTATTGTTATTATTATTGTTATTATTGTCAAATTTACATCAATATATACATAATTGTATTTATTTTATGCACCCGAATACTTACTCATTAATTACATTAATGTGTAACAAAATATCTTAAAAAAAAAAATCGAAACTATCAATAGATAGATTTACTGAATAATTAAAATATCAGTCTTAAAATACCAATATTTTGTCTAAAATCTATGCATTTCAAACTTCGCAAATTAATATAACCATCTTACACACTCGTTCTGTTCTCGAATCTTATAACTTACACAAATTGCAGATACATTAAAGACTTTGAAAACTTTTAATTCTTAGCGGTCAATCGATAGAACCTTCGTATTTGTTAATACTTTAGTAGAATGTAAGTATTAAAAATTGTGTCATTGATGTGAAATCGTGCTGCGCAAATTATATCTCATTTCAATTCGGTAAGTACGAATAATTACTAATTCATTTCTTTGTTAATAATTTCTTTGGATGTCATATAAACTTTTTGTAACAAAAACCAAGTTATCGGTCCCATTCCCTATCGTATTCGCACCTTAGCAGACCATTTCGATATGAATTTATACGTACGTGTCCGCGTTCATATAAGTGCGTTACGTGACAACCACCTTTATATGCGCAAATACAAAGTTTCAGTGTGGCATACAATAAAGAGGCAAAAAAAAAAAAAAAAAATTTGTACCAATTATCAAGAAATTTCGCATTTAGGACGCGTACAATATTAATCTCAGCCGAGCCAGTTATAAGGTCGTTCATTAAAATTTACAATTCCAGTGTTCAGCGAGCAGTGCGCAAACTCGCACGAATTTGCATGACCAAAAGTTTCATTCGAAAATTCTTCAGAAATTATCGGTGGAGGGCAATGCTAGGGCGTGGGGGAGGCGCCGAGAGTCAAGAAGGGAAATTTCGAGCGCGGCGGTAGCGCACTTTGGAAGCGCAAGATATACAAGGCCTGTAATGGCTGACGTCATGGCCACTGAAAACAGCTGACCGCATTCCACGATAATTGCTTTGCATAATCGTAAAGGCGCTACTGCTGCTACCGCTGACGCCGACGCTGTCGACGTTGGCTTTACACTTCACACAATGCGGACCGTTAAATGCACGCGTGTATGTATATATAGTACATTTCCACCTCAGCCCTCTAATTCATTCGTCCCTCTCGGTATTTGTATTTAAGTAGCCTGTCGTTTTATAATTTGTTTCAATTTTATTTACAGTATTGATTTCCCTATTGTCACGTCACGAAGTTTCAAGCAATGGCGATTCGAGCTCAAGTCAATGAAATTTCAATGTTACCTATAACTATCCACGTACTAAAACGTTAACAACGCTCTTATTTTTATTTAATCTATAAATTTTAAGGAATAAAATTTTCCTTATATACATACCTACACTTTAGCAAAAACTTTACATTTAAACATTAAATTGAACATTATAATAAATTACGTTACAAAATAGTTTTGAAATTTTTACCTTATGCATATGGATGAGATGCGAGCAATGGAAAAACAATCGTTCTTCTTTTTCCTTCAATTTCTAGCTGAAATATAAAAAAAATATTATCCGTCAAATAATAGTCAATTTTTTTTCTGAATTATACTTTATAATAATTAACGATAAAATCCTCCATTTATATATAAATATAATAATAATCGGTAGTTCTGAAGACCTTGATAATTTAAATAAAATAGATTTGTTCGAATATTTTAACGAGCTTGATAAGTTAGATTTTCATGAAATGAAAACTCAATAAAAGTCTATAGCTTTTTAAATATATTTTATTTATACTCGATACAACATACCGAAATTTAAATAATTAGCCACAATGTTTTCAAAAACTTAACCTAATTGATTTGAATAACGATTATAGAATTGATAACATTTAATTTATATTTCTCTTTAAATTCATGGTTTAATTTAACTAAATTCTAAAGTACATATGTCATATTTTATACAGATATATTTAAAGAGAATTATTAATATTAATCAACTTTAAGTATCATCTACTGCGGCATCTTCGAAATCATTATCAAAGCCATTCGTATTCCAAAATTATCAAACAATCTATATCGATCTTTGATTTCTCGAAATACATATGATTAAAAAAAAAAAAGAAAAAACAGACATAGAGGGAATATCAATTGGTTGCGTGCGCTCATCTAGGTAGAAAAATTTTAAAGCGAATGATCGAAAACAGCATTATCACCTAATACTTTAAATATTTCATAATCGATAGTAAATTGCACATTTTTAAAATGTGATTAACTCGAAAAACTGGAATACGAGCAGTTTCCGTCCAAGTCGTTTACGGGCGTGTGTTCGCGAGGAAAAGAGAAAAAGAGAGAAAGAGAGAAAGAGAGTATTCTTGGATGTGCGACGTGTGGAGGAGGAAAAATGCTACCGAGAGAAGCGATAGTTTGCACGGGCCTCGCGAACACCGCCGACACGCCACTACTATATCCACTTGAGCAAACCTTACCTCTCTCTCTCTCTCTCTCTATCTCTATCTCTCTCTCTATCTCTCTCTATATCTATCTATCTCTCTCTCTCTCCCGTGCGCACGCGCGCACACAATTCTTCATGCGTGCTTGGCTTTTAAACTTTAAAGAGCCGCATTCGGAGCCACGAGCCTTCTAAGCATTCCAGTGGTGCTCAATGTTCCAGGCCGCTTCGCAACGACGACACTTGCTCTCCTTTCGGATCACACTGCGCGTCTCGCGAAATTCCGATGTGGGTCGACGGCCTCGGTCCACCCACGGCGATTAGTCCACTAAGAAGGAATACATGGGTGGGAGGGAGAAGGAGAGGGACGAAGGGAGAAAAGAAGGAACGCCGGTTATCGCGGGGAGGGATGGGCCTGTCTCTTTTTGTTCGAGGATTCCAGAGGACGGAAGTATGCCGTTGCTGGGGTCTTCGACGAAGGATCGGGGCAAAAAGCCATCCCACTCCGCACCACGAAAATGGGAATGCACACGGTGCGGGAGGGGGTGTGCAGCAGCAGAGTGGAGGCATTTGCGCCATATATGGTCCGTTTAGCGTTGCGAACCACGCCTACTCCCGCACCCCTCCTCTCCCCATCGCCCGAGCCACTTGGGTAAATCGAATGCAACTAGATGGCTAATTTGAAGTGAACTGTTAGAGAGGCTGTATCATAGTCAATGATGCTCAAGAACGTATTGGTGAATTTTCGATTGGGTTGTTTTTCGATGATGTAAAGATCAAGGAAATTATTATCACTACCTTAAGCTACGATCAAAATGTTATTAGCTCATCGAAAGATTTTAAGCTATTGGCTTTCTGATAAGTTTTCATCGTCGTATAATGGAGATAAGACAATTGTAGATGCATATACCGATAATGACAAGTAAGCTAGTAAGATTTTATTTTTCCTCCCGTACTGCGAATGAAAATTAAAGTGAAGTTTTACTGAATGTTTAGTCTTTTTTTAATCGTAAGAGTATTGCTCGTCGTGTCAAATGACTCATCAATAACGAGAACCGATTCATCAGTTTCCAGTTATTGCAGTTTAAAACATTGATAACTGGTGCGTATAAATCATCGTCATTTAGAGTATATCGGCCTGTTGGTAAATTGAAAATAGAAAATGTGCTTGCGTTAGTTGACAGTTTATTGAAATTATTTTCGTGACAGTTTATTATATCGTATTTCTTAAATATAGGTGAGCACAATTGTGCGAATTAAATCTTATTAACTAAAAAAAAAAAAAAAAAAAAAAAAAAAAAAACCCCCAAAAAAAAAACCGCTAACAGCAGCAGAGATAGTGTATATATCTCAATATTCAATTATTGGTTTATCATTGTTAAATGAAGTTAGTTTATTGCAATAGTGGTAAATATGTATAATTTGACAAATTAAGCGTCATTATAAGTGATTTTTTCAATCCTAATAAAAGTCTTTTGATTATCATGAAATCTAAGATGTCCATCGCCAAAACTAGAACACATTCACCTCAAATTCGTGATTCGATAATGATATAATCGCATAATACAATCAATTATTACGTGACTATCAAATTTACTTAATTAATGGAAACCTAACGATCGTCCAATCGATCGGTCGACCTCTTTATTTCATCTGCTTGCGCTGAATGTAAGTGCAAGACATAAACTCCTGAGGATTATTTTATTATTAGCGACGAGATTAATCTACATTATCTTGCCAAGATCCACGTGGGCGCAACGGTTCACACTTCGCCATTTTCATAGAAATTATTTTAAAAACAATCGAAAAGAACGGATTCACGTTTGTAATTTTCTCACTCGATGATTCAATTATTCATCTGTCAGCAAAATGAATAAACTGTTCTATAAGATATCCAAGTAAAGTTTGTCTTTCAATCATCTATTGTTGGTTGGTACATACGCCTCATCATGATTCTCATTTATCAAGTTTAATTCTAAAATAGACAATTAATAAAGTACCTATTAATCTTCTGATCTCGGTGTTGATGAGAAGCAAAAAAAGGAGAAAAAAGTAGCCAGGGAACCTTTTGAAAATTAGAAGATGAATATATGGAGCGAGGCTCGGATGCTCACACGGTAACAAGGGAACGACGGATAATAGTGTCGCTCGCGGCAAGAAGACGTCGAGATAGAGCGCGCATAACGTCACGCGACAAATATACGAAGAGAAAGAGGGAGAGAGAGAGAGAGAGAGAGAGAGAGAGAGAGAGGTGGCCTGGGATCGCCCGCGAGGGTATTACGAAAGATGACGCGTGGGAATCGGACTTTTCCGCTTTTGGCCGCTACTGCTGCTGTTGCTACTACTACTACTATTACTATTACTATTACTATTACAACTACCGCTACCACTACCACTACCAATACTAATACTACTACTGCTACTATTATCGATCAACTTTCCACGCTCTCCCACTCCAGGTACATTTTTCGGCCGACAAAAGTCACAGATTTCCCGTGATAAATTTCTAGGGAATGCTTTGTTCCGGATTTAGAGAAATCGAGGATACGCGAGATTATCATCGATTATGCAAAAGTGTAATTGTAATTGAAATGTCATGTTCTGCATTTGACATACATAATTCCTACGTGTAGATTATTTATAATGTTCTACCCCACTATTACACACGCACGACAAAGGTAGATCTCGTTTTTTATGTTTTTTGTTTTTTTTTGTAATTTTTTTTGTTTATTGTTTTTTTATTTTATTTTGTTTTTAACGCATAGCGTAAAATATACATTAATGACAATGTTAGTCGTTAGTGCTTCTAGGAACTAACGAGTGTTGTAGTTTGCCGAAGGTTTGTTCCCGTTCAATGGAAGTATAAACGAATTGTTTTGTACGAGTCAATATTTTCCAATCCCTTTTATCAAAAAATATTTGACGCTTTTAAATTATTATCATTCCAGTGTTCGCGAAGAGGATACAATAGCCTCTGACTGTGCTGCGATCGTGACGAGGCATGTAAAATCGACTTTACAAAACTATTATAAGATACGGGAATATTTATAAAGTTGACGGCATTAATCTTCTTTTGCCACGTGAGTCAAACAAATAAAAAGCCTTTTACAAACTTTTGTTCCACAAACAGATAAAAGCTATATTCATCAGAGGTATTAATTACCTTTAAACGTGAGAATGAGTTCTCCACTTTGTGTGCAATTTTATCGTTTAGACTTCTTTGAAAAATCATTCGTATTAGATTGGCAATCATAATGCTCGATGACTTTTGCTTAAACGCACGACGGCGACGCCTGCCGACGCTATATTTGTCAAAAAAAAAAAAAAAAAAAAAAAAAAAAAAAAAAAGTAACTTATCCAATCTAAAGCAGATTCGTTTGAATTCTTTAAATATTTAGTCAAGTTCTATCAAAATGTCGAGCAGAATTTCTTAGATGTTAGTGATCGTAGGCCATCGTCAACGGTCCATTAAAGCCAAATCATTCAAGTTCACGGCATTTAAACTCATCGCTGACGACAGTCAAGTCGTCGCAACTTACATCAATGACAATTAAAAGTCTCGCAATTGTTTGAGGGAATATTACAACGACTAAGATAATATATAAATTACTAAACATATGCGTTATACACTAAATGATAGATAATTGCCAAGTTCGAAGTAAGAGTGGCGTTTGTCAAACGGCATTGACTGTTTGGACAATCCGATTTCATTTGATATGCGTCTGTTTTTCATAATCGCACCTATCCGAGTAAATGGCCAATTTGTAAAAGGCCAAGTTCGACGAAAGTGCGTCTCGTTTAAGGATTTGCCCGTCTCATCGGCGCTTAAGCCGGATTCGCAATCGATCAGCTACGGATTTAAAAGCCATGGAAAATGCAGGCCAGGGGTGTTTCAACCTTCACTCTCGTCTATTCAGCGCACACAATGCATGCAGCACTCGGTGCAGGAGGGTGGCGAGGGGGGAGGAGTCCGAGGGTCGGGCATTAGAATAAGCGCGAGCGCATGTACAGCAAGCGCAGCAGACCGTCCCGTCTGGTCGGGCCTCAGACTTTAATGACGTCATTATCTCTAATTAGAATTCCCATGGTGTTGCCTGTG